CGGGAGTCCCTGACTCCTCTATTCAACACAAGACAGAGGAATCCCATTCCTTTTTCCGACTTGCCCGAACTTCCATAAATACCATAATCTTAATATATATACGGGAGCCCCGAGCTCCACTATTCAACACAAGACAGAGGAACCCTGTTCTATTTTTGATCTTGCCCGAACCTCCATTTTATGTTCTGCCCGTCGACAGAATTCCCACAACATATTCTTACCCGGAGGGCGAACCTCTATAGACTCCCGGAGCCCTTTCGGTAGTTCTTGTCAACCAGGTCTCCGTGCCACTTTTCAGGCCAAACATAAACAAGTCAACGAAGAATGTCTATACAAACGCCCCTATGTAATAATGTATATATGGCCTTGTGAACCTACTATCCAACCGGTTAGTATACACTCTACTCTAGACTCTCATAGGGTTCACAATAATTCTCTATCCATTCATCATATTCCTTTTCCTACGTTCCCAAACAATAGCCGAAGCATTTCAATCAATACCTTTGCCCCGTATGATCGGCCCCAAGTAAGCATGGCTATCCCATAATGTTACCCATGACACATCTACGGCCACACGGTAGCCGTCCCTGCAGAAATACACACATAAGCTTATCCATTAATTATGGATAGCTTATGACACCAACTCGTACTATGACATCTAAGCGATCTCACATCTATCCTCTATCCCCTTGACCGTAAACCATCTTACTTGAGCGTGTGAAACCACCCTTTTTGACTCTTCTCTCACCAGACCTTACTTACAATCATGCGTCGGGTTCACAATAGCTTCCTGCCTGGTTCACAACAATCTCTAGTAGACTGTCAGACCCTACAAACAAGTGAACCATCGGGTAGAACTTACTTCCTTAGAGCGGTAGCCCTAATGTAGCTCTATTTTCAAGGTTTAACGATCAATTTATCTTTCTACCTTTCGGCTTCGTGGACTAACTTCTCATTCGGCCCAAGGTAGCTCCCTTAGTAGGGTATATCTTAGCCAAGACTCACTTCCTAAACAATCCTAACGATATGAATGCGAGTTGATCTCCAACTGTGATCCGCCCATACAAACCACAGTCTTCCTTCTATCCACCAAGCAATGAGTCACCCTTGATATGCCAAGGCCGACCAAGTTTCCTCGAGACTATGGTTGAATTCCATGCCCGGAGCTCACAGCGCATATATCCTGATCCATAGCCTAACGTGCATATACTAAGTATCCTGTCAAGGTTCCCAACCTTGCCAAGCTCCTTGCATGCCTTCACCTACGAGTCCTTAGTTGGATCCTCTTAGACCCAACCGGATGCTCTGCCACTGCACCGTCGGTCAAACCTGGGCTTGCCGGTCCGATCTTGTGTCATTTCCTGACGATGTGCCTGCCGATACTCTATCTAGGCACCATCGCTCTATTCACCAAGGCTCCACCATGGCGCTATCGATTACTATATCGATTTCCTTACGGCACGAAGATTCACTGTGCCGCAGTATGATGCCCTCTTTGGCACATCCCTAAGCCGCTCTTCATGGTGCGGTCACGCTGCCTATCATGGTGTAGTATGTTAACCGTACTAGTGCTTTGTCAAGGATAATTGAGGCACCCCGAGGCCATACCGATACCCATCGAGACGTAGCATGACTGTTTGAATTGAGACTCTCATCGAGGTACCCCGAGGCCTTACCTATGCTCTCTTTCCACCAATAAGACCTTAAGCATCCAGACCGGTGGCCTAACAATATGCGGCAACCCTTTGTGCCCATACCGCAACTCCTCGTCGTCCACGCGACACTCTCGTGCTTGACCGTAGTCAAGTGGAATACTGCCACTACTCTACTCTTGCCGAGTCTCTAGTCTGGATCCTATATCCTGACCGATCTTCCTTGACTACTACTCATGACTACCTAAACACCCTATGAAAGCAAATATAGAAAATACTAGAAAGGAAAGTTAGGTACGGATCGCGCTTTACCTCACCAATGAACCTTCTTTACCGCGGGGCTGGGTGCTGAGTTCCTTCTCAATCTCCTTCGATTCTTCTTTCCTAAGCGTTTTCCTTTGGCTCTGGAAGAGAAGAATGATTTTGGTATGTAAAATATGAGCTCCCTAACTCTCTATTTATACCCCACGAAAATTTCCCTAAAGAATATTTACTTTCCTTATATTTCTCCACGTCCTTATTATATGGGCCAAGTCCGCTCTCTCCCCATTTCTTCACGGCGCATCAATTAGGGTTCCCTCCCTCTTTCTCCGCCGACCTAGCTGTCCTCCTTCGGCGGCCCGTTTTCTGTTCACAATCCTTTCTTGGGTTACCCATTCCCTAAGTAGCAATCTTGCAAAAATTGCAACCCTAGCCCTTATTATTAAATATTGCTAATTATCACTTAAAACTTCCCTACGTTACATTCTAACCCTTATTCCTAATTCTAGGGTGTTACACGCGAACCCATCAGCAACAAAGAAAACTAGTTCCAGTTTCGTCCAGTACGGAGGAGACTTCGAAGGAGACTTTGAAGGAGACTTCGAAGGAGATTACAACTATCCCATTGAATCACCAAACTACGGCCGAGATCGAAGTAGAGGCCAAGGAAGAAAAAGAAGGACAAGGGGCCAAGGTTCTTACAATGACATGGTATATTGCGACCACCACCATGTGTTTGGACACTCAACCGCTAATTGTCATGTGCTAGGACTAAAACTCGCTGCAAAACTAGTAGCTGGCGAACTTACAGGCGATATTAGCCTCGAAGATTTTGATTTCGACATCGACACAGATCTTCCTAAACGCACAGAATACGAGCCCCCTAAACGTAGAAGGGAAGATGACGAGCCGAATCCACCCAACACTCGTCACCGAATCAACATGATCATGGGAGGATCCAAACACTACTCTGACACAATCTCTTCCATTAAATCATATCAACAGAGAGCTAACGTCGATATCATTTGGTCTGAATCATCGAGCTCCCAAACGATGTGATTTCACTCGAAGAAGAGGATACACGAGCAGCCTTGCCACAACACTTCATGGACAATACGAAAACGATCGATCATAACGTGAATGCGAGGATCGCGACCCCTACTTTGTCTCTGGAAGATAAGCTTGACGTATTCGCTACTCAAATTCAAAACATAGAGACACGCTTGATCCGCCTTAATGAAGTACAATAGCAACACACCTATGCCATCCAAAACGATGCGAGAAATATCTATTTTCTCCAGCGCGATTATGATAGTATGTGGGAGTATTTTGAACGGGAGATTAAGGCCACTAATGAGAACTTTACAGAACTTACAGCGTGACTTAACATCATTGCAATCAAGGCCCATCAAGCCGAGACAGCATTTGCCCGAATAACCAACGTTGCCGCTACAAACTACAATTTTGAAGTCAAAACGAGACGTTTTAG